AATCGAAAGCCCCATAAATATTCCCTCCATTTGATGTTATTTTATGGACATCTGAGTGTCTTAATTAATGATATCATAATTGAGCGATGACTCGTTGGATTTATCTTATCGGGACACTCGTTTTGATCATAAACTCGTCATATTCTAAATTATTTAACCTTTCAAGTGGACATTAAAAAATTTTAAAAATAAATTAATGTATCGATCTGAGCTTAATTTGACTCGTATTTAATCAACTTTACTGTCCTTATATTTTGTTTCATCGTTAATTTGAAACAAGTTCGGTAAAATCATGTTTCGGGATTATTGTTTTTAATATGAATTTAACGGTTTGTTCTTAAAAGATGCTTTGAAACTTGTGTGTAATTCAGTCCAACAATGGTGTTCACACTTTTCGCAGCACTATCTACTTTGACATATCGTGTGAAGTAGAATACTTCACCTGTCACATCCAGTTGCCAAATATAGAGGTATATAAAAACAGTATTGCTGAAGTTGATCATGACTATTATATAGTGTTCCAAAATCACTGCAATTATAATTGAATTTCGAACCTCAATTAATAATCACATGAATGTTAGTTAAACTCCAACCGAGCTTCATACTTCTTCTCAAAATAACCAATTGTACCAACTACAAAAATCATATTCATGTATCTAATTTTACATACAATAAATATCTTTATCTTTTTTTCTCACATATAATTCTCAATATAACGTGTATTGCTCACCCATTCTCTCTTTAAATTTTGGTCACAAAAATATGAAGGATTATTATGAAGTGATGGTAATAATGATTTTGGAAATGATGTTACTATAATTTCACGTATATGTTATCATAAATTCACGTGTATGTGATATGATAATCCTCATTCACTGTTGTCCGTACTTACAGTATATACACGTAACAATAAAAGAACGTGTGAAATCACGTTTAGGGAGAAAAAAAAAGTGAATTATGAAATTTTGATAAGGCCTTGTGAATCTCATGATTGAGAACGTGCGAAGCATATCCCACAATAGTTCAACAACGGCCCTGTTAGTACATCATGTAAGGGTGTGTAGGTGCACAGAAAATGGCAGGACAGGCAAATAGAAAATTATACGTAGCATGTTATTTCCCAGGTAGAACTAAACATGCCAAATTAGAGGCTGAAATACGTACACTTATATTTTGACATAAATTAAAAAGAAATATCAGAGAAGCACACAGATCTAGCTAATTATTTGCATGAGATGACTTGGAATACAGGCTTGGATGAACTCTCTTTCTCCATAAACTTAAGAGACTATTATCCCTTCTCTTCTTCTTCTTTTCTTCTTCTACCTCTTCTTCTTCACCATATCGCCTTGCCTGCATTATCTTCATCTTTTCCTTGTACAACTTCCTCTCCACATAAGCTTCCGCTAAGCTCACATTAATGGAGGCCATAAGTGATCAGTAAAGAACAAGCCTCTTTTATCTCCTCTTCTATTCTTGGCTCCTGGTATGTGATGACATATAAAGGCACTTTAATGGTGAAGCGATATAGAATCTTTTATCTTTTTTATTCTTGTACTTTGGAGGTCATGCATGACGTGTATTTTGCATCGCAGGATATTTATATTTATTTATTTGGACTTTTAACTAAGAAGGAAATTTTTACAATTTAGGACAACTTTAGGGCTTATGATTAATATTATAAATGTAAATATTAATTTTAGGTGGACGATATGTAAATATATAAAAAGTATGGGATATGTATGTGAATTTGTTTATTTTCTTGAAGCGGACGCATGCAGAGGTAGGTTTTAGAAAATAAATATTAAATGGCAATTTGGTCCCAATGCCGCTTAGAAGCCCCACTGAAGCATCAACGCATAATAAGGCACGACAAAATTCTTGTAACTCGAAGTTTTGACTTTGTTTTGTGATAAGCGTCGCAATGTTATTAAATGGAGAGATGTTGTCATTTTCAGCCAATTTTGTCAACTCTTATTTTAAATTTTATTCCTAATTAATCTATACCATAATTTTAATTATATTTATATTCATTTATATTTAGGAAAATTTACATACATACCGTTCAATTCTTATGTATTTACGTAGTCAACACATAAACTTCAATTAAATAACATTCAAAATTCGACTCAAGGTTTAGAAAATCTGACACCTCATATTGAAACACAATGAATCGGCTGGAACCGACGGGCTAACCGTTGAATCAATTTATTTTTTTAGTGTTTCTTGAGAGACATTTTTTTGAATTATAATACTTGATTGCTAATCTTCTTGTAGTAATAGTACATCATTCAAATATTGATTTATTGTTGTTTTAATTTATAAGCACTTTTATTTACATTAAAAGAAGTATATTATAATTAATTCATTAGTATACATTTATGCAATTGAGTATTCCATGTTATCTTTTTATCTTTTCTTTACTTACAAATATTTTTATTAGATGCCAACATTTGCTTATTTTTAATTATTTTTAGAGAAACAATTGTTTAAAGTTGTGGAATGAAATAGTTTAAGGAATCAACATTTGATTTATGTTAAGTTGTTAGTCATTGATATATGAAGTATTTCAGGATATATTTTCATTTGATTTATATTTCATGATATACTTTTTATACTACAACATTATTATATCATTTAGGTTATATTTAATGTTTTTTTAATATTTATGATGTACCCGGTTCAACCTCCAGTTCGATCAAGTTAAACTGTTGAATCTTGAACCTCCTCCTCTTCCCGTTCAATGTTCGGTTAAATTTCAAAACCTCGGTTCGACTTCTTATCCACCTCCCCTCAAGTGAATAGAGAATGTCTATTTATAGCGCTTAGGGGATGATCATTTTGGTTATCTGGCAAATAACTCCCATAGCCGCCTGATCAAGCAACCCGCATCAATTACTTTTGATCATAGAGTTTTTTTTTTTTTTAATATGGTTTGATGGTCTTAATGATCTCATAATTGAGTGATATTTGGTTTGTTGGACTACTTTCATTGGGACGCTTGATTTGATTACATGTATGTTCATTTGCTCGTTCGATTAACGACTCAAAGCACCCAGTGTGGTCTAATTAATTATTCGTGACTTGATTTGACTCAGATTGAACTAATTTGGGCTTCTTTGAATTTATTATATCGATACAACTAGTTTGTCTATAAACTTCCTAAAATCGGGGTCTTGGATGATCCTGAATTTAAATCCAAAATATTTATTGTTTAGAAAATGTTTCGAGATTCAAGTCGGTTGATAAAAATTTATTGACAAGGCATCATTTTTATTATTATATATTTTAGCATTACCCAAATGAGAACTCTGATATCCAATTGATTGAACGTCATCTGACTATATCTATGTGCGTGTTGTATATTTTTTTTTGAAACATCTATTATTATTGATGTTTATTAATTATGAGCTTTGAGGGATGCCCCATAGGTGCTGCAATAGATGGTTGATTGTATTTAAATCAATCAATTTTATAGGCATGTGTAGGCCAAAGAAAGACAAATTAAATATTATATCTTAGAGGTTTCTCCTTCAAGAACTATAACTTAAAGAAGCAAAGCTTCTGAGTTTAATTGCATATTAGGTGTGTTCGAGAATACTCTTGATCAAGGAATTAATTCTTGTATTTATTAGTTAATTAAGATTTGAATGGATTCAATGAAAGTAAATAGAATGTCAGAATGGATGTTATGGAGCTCTATAAAAGATAGAAGCATAAGAAAAAATGAGAATTGAAAAAGAATGGGCTCCTAAACCCTAAGATGATGGCTAATTTACCAAAGGGTGTGACGGCCCTGTTCAAAATCTCATGGTTTCACTGCTATGGGTTGTAAGTGCCCTTAGTTTTCGTAATCAAGAGGTGACCAGAAGATCCTAGTTAGCAAAACAACTATGGGTTGCCTTTCAAAGGAGACCTCATAGACCAAGATTGTCCGCTTAGTTCTAGACATTGGGTGTGCGGATGCACGTCAAAGTTGACATATGGAGGGTAAGACAAATACAACTTATGAGACCGACACTTATAGCTTAATCACACACACACACACATGACAAAGCGAGGGTGATCAAGATATATGAAGAAAGATCCAGCTATGAATTCTATTAATATAATATGAGGGAGATCAAGCAATAGAGACGCACAGCTATCTTCAGAGCTGAACATGTAAAAAATTTGCTGATTCAGTTATGTTTTTTGTCCAAGCATTTCCCTCTATAAATATATTTAGAAGTATCTGCTGGACTTATTTTTATACAACAAATTCTACAGAAATTTTTAGCCTGCTTAAAGAGTAGGAAGATTTTCATACATCCCACTCAATATCTATGTATTTATACATATAACACCTAAACTTACATTTTTACTTGTATAAAATCTTATTTCATTTTAACAAAATTAAAATAATGATATTTTTTTATGAGATATTAAAGATTTGGATGGTATAAATGTAAGAAAAAAAGATTCAGGTGTTAAATATATTAGAATCGAGTGGTACGATTTGTAAATATCCCGAAAGTTGTGTTTGACTTGAACATGAGTTTATGTTAAATAGAATTTATCAAATTCAATAAATTTGAACACTAAGCAATGGTGAAAGAAATTCTTAAATCTTCCAAATTTAATAAATTTAGATTTATGTTGAGGAAAAGACTGAACACGAAAAAATTCATTTTAACATGATGATGGACTTAATTTTAATTTTAATTTTTTATATTTGGATGAATTTATATTAAATTTATGGCTAAATTAAAATTAAATTATAATACCAAACACCAATTTAAAAAAAAAATTTATTTCAAATTTTCTTAGACCCTCCCTTCTCCCTTCAAAATGAACGGTTGGCAATACCCATTGGCAATGTTTCTGTTAGAAAGGTGAAATCCCGTATAGGTTCAATTCTTCTCGCGTTTATTCATTGAATGTGGACGTTTTTTTGGCAGTTTATGGAATCTCCCTCCACATTTTCTTCTCCACTATTTTTATCCTTTTGTTGTGCTTATAATTATTCCTCAGACGCACAACGTTCCTCATAGCCCACGCTCACACTTCTCTAAGGAATGAGGTTCTCTCTCTATCTCTCCCTGCATTCTTTTGACCTTTTTTTATTGAGATTTATGAAAAAAGATTGCATTTTTATTGCTAAAGGTTTGTTTAAGCCTAAAAAATGGCTCCTTTTTTAATATTTTCGAGTACAGTTTTGGCATTGTGGTTAAAATGTTTTATTTTATTTATTAAGTTTCTGCAAATGTGATTAGGTTATATATTAAGGTTTTAGGCAACAATGGCAAAAGTATAGTTGTAAATATAAGAAAAAAGAACAATTTTTTTTCCTTTTTTTGCATGCAAACCAGTCGTTAGCATTAAAAATGTAATTTTTATCTTGAATCACTTAAAATGGCGGATTCTATTGCCTAATTTTCTCCAAATATGATTAGGATTTGGAGAGGGGCATTCCAGAAAGGTGAACTCCGTTAAATTTTTTATAAATTTGATCTATATTTTTACTGATTGCTTAGATTTTATTTTTGTTTCTGTTGTAGAGGACTGATTCAACCGTTGAGATTAAGAAGAACTCTATGATTGAAGATGGGCGGTTAGGGATAGGCAGAACTGCATGCATGTTTCTTTCTTTATTAGACGACTTGACAATTTTGACGACTTTTTCTCATGTTATTGCATTGCACGCCTAATTCTTTTTATTTGTTTGTGGTCCTTTGTTTTCTTGCTATCAGCATCGCTACATGAATTCGGTTGAGTTTCTCCCTGATAACTATAAATAGTTGCAATTTCATTATTTGTTTCTTTATAAAGATTAAGGTTTACATACCTACCGCTCAATTCCAATGTAGCAGGCGTCAAGTAAATTTTTCAATCATCTGGTTTTTTCCTCCTAACGGCTATAAAATTTTGAATTATAGGTGAATTGAGCCTTTCTCAAGTTTTCATATATATTCAGCTAAGGGATGGGTGGCCATATTGTAACTTCAAATGAAGTTGAGAACTTAGAAGCAAACAACATTAAACAATATGAATCAGAGCAGAAATTGGAGAAATCTCCATCGACTTACAAGGTCGGATGCCCCCCAAGAAAAAAGTTTCTTAAAGAATTCGCCGATGGATTGAAGGAAACCTTCTTCGCCGACGATCCCTTGAAGCCTTACAAGGACCAACCTGGATCAAGGAAGTTCTTGCTTGGCTTGCAGTTTTTGTTTCCAATCTTTGAATGGGGAAGAGATTATAATTTGATTAAGTTTAAAGGAGATATTATTGCAGGATTAACCATTGCTAGCCTCTGCATACCTCAAGTAAGATTATGCAATAACTTAGAGATTATTTAGTGATAAATGTATTATATATTATGTTTTTATAGGATGTCACATGTTTAAATAAAAATTCCAATCATAAGATTTAAGTTTTATTTTAATAAAGTACTAGTTGTCGAACCAAGTTGATGTATCTGGGAGATCATAATTGTTACTCATCTTTTTTAGAAAACATTGCATTGTTTAATTAATATAACATTGAATCAAATATAGTTCATTTGATATATCTAGCTTTATTATGTAAAAAACATTCATATCTACATAAGTTTTAGTTAGACAACATTAAACCAAGCAACCATTCAATATACTTGAACGTGCGCACAACACATTCGCCGGAAATAAAGTAAAGAATCCCAATGAACCCAGTAACAAATCTCACCCTGCCCCAAATTAAAAAAAGGAAGATTTACATACAAACTGCTCAATTCTAAGGTATTTACATATCTAACACCTAAACCTCAATACTTACATATATGCCACCATATATATGCATGAAAATGTGTATTTCACTTCTTAGAAGTTCAAAATAGTGATATTTTTATATGATATGAAAGGTTTGGGTCGTATGAATGTAAAAAATAATGTTTAGGTGTTGGATACCTAAAAGTTTGTATGCAGGAAGCTATAAGGCTACTTTTCTATGTTTATTCAATGATATGCTTTGATTTGAAAACAGGACATTGGGTATGCAAAGCTTGCAAATCTGGAACCACAAAATGGTCTTTGTAAGTACTTATTAGCATTGGTTAATTACTTTTTGATGAGCTAACTACATCTTCATGTAAATAAATGAGACAAAAAATCTTGCAGATTCTAGCTTTGTTCCACCTCTAGTTTACGCGCTCATGGGAAGTTCAAGAGACATTGCTATAGGGCCTGTAGCAGTAGTTTCTCTTTTGTTGGGGTCTCTTCTGCAAGATGAACTTGATCCCATAAATAACAAAGAGGAATACCTGAGGCTTGCATTCACTGCTACCTTCTTTGCTGGTATCACTCAAGCTTTGCTAGGATTTTTAAGGTAAAAAAAAAAGGAAAAGATAAATGAGATGAACTGTTGAATTCTAGATTGAATATGTAATTAACTTCTTTATGTGCTTCTATTTGTAATTTGCAGACTAGGATTTCTCATAGACTTCTTATCACATGCTGCAATAGTTGGATTTATGTCTGGAGCAGCCATTACTATTGGTCTTCAGCAACTCAAAGGTTTCCTTGGCATACAAAAATTTACAAAACAGACGGACATAATTTCTGTTATGAAGTCTGTTTTTCATCCATTTCCTCATGGGGTAATTTTTAACATTATTGGTATTTTTGTATTTATTCTCATAAAAACAGTTTTTTGTTTTCAGATTTTTTTGTGTTAGTGCTGAACTGTTCCATTTATTTGACTATTTGCTCAGTGGAATTGGCCAACAATTCTCATAGGAACAATCTTCTTGATTTTCCTTCTTGCTGCTAAGCATGTGGTAACAATTACTGCAACATTTTTTGTTTAATTGTTTTGATCTCCATATTAAATATTCTAAGAACTAATTGAGGTTATGTAAATAGGGAAAGAAGAACAGGAAGCTATTTTGGCTGCCCGCAATTGCGCCGCTAATTTCTGTCGTTTTGGCAACATTTTTCGTTTATATTACTCATGCAGAAAGACATGGAGTGCAAATAGTGAGTCATTTTAGCAAATTCAAAATTAGTTCTTTTCACTCTCATAATTTTTTTCAAAATAAGATATTAAACCAATTATTGTTGTCATTTTCAAGGTGAAACATATAAAAAAAGGGATCAACCCCTCCTCTGTCAACCTAATCTATTTTTCGGGACCGTTGTTCGCGAAGGGAGTCAAAATTGGCATTATTGCTGGCATGATTGCGCTAACGGTACTCTATAGAACTATCAAGGAAGATTTACATACATACAGTTCAATTCTTATGTATTTACATATCTAATATCTAAACTTTAATTTTTTACATATATGTCATCTTATTTATGCATGAAAATAGTGTATTTCAAGAAAAAAAAAACTTAAATTAGTTGTATTTTTGGCATGATATGAAATGTTTCGGTGGTATAAATATAAGAAGCAAAGTTTAGGTTTTAGATAAGCATGTACAGAGAAATTGGGTGGTATGTATGTGGATGCCTCAATCATCAAATACCATTTTGTTCAAGAAAGCTAGTCTTTTTATTTGCTTCTAAGCGTTTAAAGTTTTATAGGAAGCGGTGGCGATCGGACGAACATTTGCATCCATGAAGGACTATCACTTGGATGGAAATAAAGAAATGGTTGCGCTTGGCACAATGAATGTTGTAGGCTCGATGACTTCGTGCTACGTTGCCACCGGTACAACATAGATTATTTTTTTAACGTATCTAACGCAAACTTTGTTTATTGCAGTTCTACAACTCAAATCTTTTATATCACATCAAAAATACAATTATTATAAGTTTTAAAAAGTGATGCACCTTTCTAAGCTTATATAAGGTTGGCATATGTGTAAATTTGAAGTTTAGGTATGTAAATACATAGGAATTGAGTGATATGTATTTTTTTATAGTTTCATTGTCATGGTCTTAACTCTCTGTTTCAGGATCATTTTCAAGATCAGCTGTTAATTACATGTCTGGATGCCAAACTCCAGTGTCCAACTTGGTTATGTCCATTGTGGTGTTCTTCACTTTACTATTAATCACACCATTATTTAAGTATACTCCGAACGCAATTCTATCGTCGATCATCATCTCCGCAGTGATTAATTTGATCGACTACGAAGCAGCTTTTCTCATCTGGAAGGTTGATAAATTTGATTTCATTGCTTGCATGGGAGCATTTCTTGGCGTGGTCTTTGCTTCAGTTGAGATTGGTCTATTGATTGCTGTAAGAGAAAGAGCTCACTGCAGCTTTGTATTTGATAATATTTTTGTTTAGCAATATAAGAAAATATATTAAATTGTCAAAATAGTCATCTGACTATTTACAATGAGCCTTTTCGGTCCCACAGTTTATAAAAGTATAAACTTAATCCTCTATACTTTTAACTGGGATGAAATAATTTCTGCGGTGATTATGTTAGCTCATATTAAAAGAGCTTGCGGACTGAATTGACATATTTATATACTCTGACTAAAATGACCCCAACAAAGACTCAGCAGACTGACTCTTCTATTATTTTTCTGTAAAACATTTATGATTAAATAAATTTTCTCAAATTCATATCAAAATTTATGCTTTATAGGTCTTCATATCATTTGCTAAGCTTCTTCTACAAGTGACAAGACCTAGGACTGCTATACTGGGCAATCTTCCTGGAACTACAATCTACAGGAACATTGAACAATATCCTGATGCCAGTAGAGTTCCAGGAGTCCTGATTGTGAGAGTTGATTCAGCCATATATTTTACTAACTCTAATTATGTTAAAGAGAGGTGAATAATATATACAATATTATCCATTTGAATTTATATCTAGTATTTCATTTTATTACATCAATTTATACTTAAAAAAAGTTTCATGTTTTGCTTGTAGAATCTTAAGATGGTTGACTGATGAAGAGGAGAAGCTGAAAAAAATAGAGTTCCTCATCGTGGAGATGTCTCGTGAGATTCCAAGCTTTCTGACTGTTTAATTTTTATAATTTGGGAAGGCAGATAGATTATCTCTAATTTCAAGGATTAAATTGCAAAATTTGCAGCTGTGACTGACATTGACACCAGTGGCATTCATGCCTTGGAAGAGTTGTTCAAGTCTCTGAAGAAAAGGAATGTTCAGGTGAGGAAAGATGGATAATCTTGTCTCTCTAAACTCAATTCAATGATTATAATAAATAGAAACTCTGAATAGTTTTTTTTGCAAATATCAAAAGCTTGTTTGAATGAATATTTACATTTATGAGGTTTAAATTCTTGTTTTGGCATGGCAGCTGGCTCTTGCCAATCCAGGGCCAGTGATCATGGAGAAGCTTCATGCTTCAGAGTTCATGGAACTGATTGGAAGTGACAAAATCTTCCTCACTGTAGGAGATGCAGTGCTGAACTGTGCCAAGAAATCAAAGGAAGTTGTCTGAGTATGCAAAAGACTTTTTTTTTTCTTTTCTGTATATGTATGTGGACTAAATCTCTCATTTATCCTAATTGGGATTTATAAGCTGAAATAAAAGATTATGCAGATGATTTGAGCAAATATTGGGTGCATTGGGTTGCTTGTATTATAGTTTTATAATTACAAAAAATATATATATTTTTTTAACATATTGAATATATTGTATTTCAAATATAAATATAAATATAAATATAAATTAAATAACAATTAAAAAAAAGGATCCCCATTAGCCTCTTGGTTTATGAGATCAAATAAGTGGGGAGATATTTTGACTTAATATTAAAGAATTTCAAAATGATTTTTCTTTCCTTTATTTAGTTGATTTCTGCCTTTTTCTTTTCGTATCTTTTGCCAAAAGTGACAATACTCCTTTATTCTCTAAAAATCTACTCGTGCTTGTGCATACCCGTCCACTTTTGAGATTTTATAAAAACCCTATTTTTTTCTTTTTTATAAAAGATGATCCAACTGTGCTGCACTAGCAAAAGTATCATTGCCCTAACAATTCAGTCGTAAAGTCAAGTTAAAATAATCCTAAAAGAACAGGTAAACTTTTCTTGGGCATTATGCACAAATGAAACACATGATTTTACGAGACTACATCCTCAGCCACTATGCCATGAATAAATGCATGCTCTTCTTGCTTCTCAATACATAATCCAAAATAATAATAATCATTTTACAATAGTTGGAATAAAGATTTTACATTAATTGAAATACTAAGCACTTCGATGCTTTCCCACAAGCCATGGATAAAAATAGGAAAGCTTAATGATAAACCCTCTGCAAACCTTAATACATATCAGTAGCCACAAGAGCCAAACTAACAATATAGAGACAAAAAGGAGGACTGATGACCACCTTATGAACTCTAGTAAGGCAGCACAAGTTGCCAAAATACCAAAATGGCATCCCAATCTAGTCCAGGATCCTGCTTATGCCTCAAGACATGTACAAATTGTACAGAATATAGGAGATGTAAACTTGTTCTCAAGTTGCTCAGCTAGCCGCCACCGTTTCGCCGCCGCCCGAGGCCTTAGAAGCCGGCGTGTTTGCTTGAGTCTGAGTCGAGTCCTTCCTAGAGGTGACGGAGCATTTCGCCTTCTCCTTCCTCTCATCTAGCTTTATTTGATGCCCGCGACATTCCGTGCTACAAAAGGCAATTTCACCCCTGTAAGAGGAGAAATCAGATAACTAAAAAAAACTTTTTTTGGACTTTTGAGCAAATTTAATCGCAAACTCACATATCATGAATGCAAGGCTTCAAACCCAAGGCATTATCTGGAAAGCTAAGCTCTCAATCAAAAGAGAATATTACATACAGAATTCATATGCATGTTAACTCCATTTACAATATTACTAGACACTATTGTACAACATATATTACACATGCATACGAACTTCGTAGGTAATTTTTTTTTCCCAACCAGTGAGTTAAAATGGGCAGCATGACTTTAGATGTTTTATTGAGAATTTTCTTTCAACATGACAGCTTTATTTGCTTATTATGTCGGAGAGTAGATAATTATTAAGCTTCTCTCCTTATTTTTCAATGAATCAATCAATTAATAGAGTATAAGTTTGATACTTAAATAATTGATTGTTTGATAGAAAAATGAGGAGCAATTTAATAATTGACCTCTCACTGACAAAATAAGCAAATAAAGAAAGCATTGAAAGAAAATTCTTACGTATGGACTACCTCCTATATACGGATTATAATTTGCATAGAGCCTACAAACCGACACCAATGAAATATAAAATGGGGGAAAATATTTAGGGCCTGCTTGGAATAGCTTATTTATTTACTTTTATCGGCTCTGTTTTTCTAAATGTAAGCAAAGATAACTAATTTTAGTATTTTTTTTTGTAAATTTTGCTATCTAAAATAAATTTTCCTAGCGGTGAAGCTGAGTGATACAGTTATATCCTTTTATAAACAACTATTACTATATCTAATAATTCTATATTAGTATTATACAATACTTACTGCTATAAAATTACACCTTACTTCGGTTTAGCCTATTCCTTTTACACGTGTATACGGTTGTGGTGTAGTGGAGACACATATATATGGCTACTGCTGTAACCATGGAGGACACTTTTTGATATTTGATTAAAGAAATATACTGATTCACTTCCTATTCTCTTGTTTTTCCCTTTCTTTATTATACAACTGAAATGGTAACAGAGGCGAGAATGGCGGACCGAGGAAAACAACCAGCGGGCGACGACGATCGGCGCTGGGAAATTCTACACGCGCCTCAAGCTTCCCTCACTTAGCGGATTGATCAGCTTGCCAGAGATTTTCAACAATTTGTTAGCGAGGTCAGGTGAGAATTTCGAACAACGTATTCATCCCACCGGCAACCACATCAGTCATGTCGGCAACTATATTGTCGTCGTATGAATCTACTGCGGTTAACCAAGCTCTGGGGCGACCCTGACGAACCGATTAACAGACGCACTCCGAGTTTCCTGAATCCGAAGAGGAGTGAAAACCTCCTTCAGCAGAGTTACATCTCAGATTCAAAATCTAGGGAGGATCCTATCGAATTGGGAAATGCTCGTCAATGTCAAACCTATCCAGATTGTGGCTACAGTGACTTCAAGGTAAAAATTGTTCTACCTTTTTTTTATGGTCACCTACATATTGAAAACTATCTCGACTGGGAACAATCAGTCGAGACATTCTTCGATTACATGGATATTCCTACGGAAAAACAGGTCAGATATGTAAACCCTAAAAAAATCTCTCACATTTCCTCTCCTCTTACAATCCTTGAAGAAAATTTCCAAGCCCTTGACTTTCTCTAACTCTCAAACTCTCTTGCAGCCCCTTACACGCCACACTTACACACTGGCAGCAACTGATGCAATCCAGAGGACGTGAAGGAAAGGGAAATGTTAAAACCAAGTTGAGGATGAAACAATTTCTCCGCAACCACTTCCTTCCATCTGATTACAAGCAAATGTTGTAGCAATATCAGCGCTGCTCTCAAGGAAATAGAACAATCGGCAATTATATAGAAAAATTATATAGGTTGTGTGTTCGGAACAATCTTAATGAATCTAAACAACAAATGGTTGCCAGTTATGTGGGAGGGCTTAAGATGCTATACACGATAAGTTGGAATTGGACTCGGTATGGTCAAAATCTGAAGCTATTAATCTAGCCTATAAGGCTGAACTACAGCTCAATCAGTCAAACAGATCTTCAACATTGAGAACAAATTGTAACGAGCAGCTGGGTGAAGCAATGAAGAGCGGATCTAACATTGTGAAGCCAAGCCCCATTCAGTCCCAAAACAAAAGCAATCTCGCTGGTTTCAATGACCCTAAAGCAGTTATTAAACAAACCAACAATCGTGACAGCATTTATCATAAACCGAGATCATCTAGGGGCCTGTTTGGGGCAGCGGCAGAGGAGCGGCGCGGCAGGCAGACGCGATTTTGCGTCGTTTGGAGCGGCAAGGTAGGCATACGCGGCGAAAGTTTTCGCATTTTAACGAAAACGCGGGCCGCAGGATAGACCCCGCGACCCCGCGTTCGCTTCACTAATATTACATATTACCCCCGCAAAGCCCCCTACGTCTTCTTCCCTAGCGTCCCAATACTTTTGCCCCAAAATGATAAAGAGAACGAGATAGGGTCATAGAAACTAGCGAAAGATCGAACCTTCTGATAAGTCGATGATTGAAGATTAATCAAATCATTCACAGAACACAAACGATTGATCTCATATAGAAGCCCTGCAGCGAACAGGATAGCGGCGGAGGAATCCAACTCCTACTCCGACTCCAACTCCGCAGCCATTAATGGGACGTCTTACTCCTACTCTGACTCCAAAGCCGCAACCATTAATGGACATACAAGCTCACGTGACCTGCTTCAAGACCCTGAGCTCTTCCACTTCTTCAACCATTCCTTTCAAGCTTCTCCTGTAATCAAATGCTTCTGCAGGAATGTCTTCTATCTTCTTCTCCAATTTCTCTGGTAATGGATTCATAAACTTGCTCGAAGGTGATCTAATGGCGAAGCAGGGATGCAAGATGGAGAGGGAGATGCTAAGCATCTCTCGGGAAACTGGTCTTACCACCGATATAAACCCATAGATCTCCTCATGTAATGAAATTGGGAGGAGTAACTATGGAAAGTGCCTCTGGAATTATGAAAAAATAATTCTCCCTGAATCTGAACATTGAAAAATTAATTAATAGATTTTATTTATGGATTGTGTATGAATAGCATTTGTGTATGTTTATCCTCTCTGGATTCATAATATAGCAGTAGAGACATGATTGTAGTGTTTTGAAAAAAAGAAAAATCTACTTCTTACGTTCGATTTAATATACTGAATTAATTAGTTGAGTGTTGTTAGCATATAACTATTTACTTATCTAACGGCTAAATTTTAATTTTAACATTTATACCAACCAAATCTTTCATATCACGGAACACGAACAATTTTAGTTTTTGCTTTAAAAGTAATAAATTTAAGGCTATCAGAGTTTTGTTACGCACATCACAAAACAGGGGCAAAATTGTCATTTTTACAGAAACAGCTACCCCGCAGTTGTTTTCACACTGGTGCCCCAAACATACAGTCAGCTTCCCCGCAGCAGCCTCCTGGGACAGCACAGCTGCTGCTGAGAAGCTGTAAAGCTGCAACTGCGCCAAACAAAGCCTAAGTGCTTTTGTTGCCTCCAACCGAGCCACCGTTCTAATGAATGTCCTAATCATCGTCAGTTGCAAGTGATGGAAAGTGAAAAAATTGCAGAAGAGTCACGTGAATTTCCATTCTCCAATGAAGAATGTGAAAATATACCGGGTGATGATGGAGAGTCTTTTTCTAAACAACATGTGAACTCTCAAAGAAATACTATCTTCCGTACTCGTTGTACCCTTAATGGTAATGTTTGTAACTAGATAGTGGATGCAATAAAAATGTCATTGCGGCAAAGGTCGTTAAAGCACTCCAACTTAAAACATCCAAACATCCACAACCTTACAAAATCAACTAGATTAAAAGGGGCATTGAAGTTCTTGTGACAGACATGTGCATGTTAGCTTTTCATTGGAAAGAATTTTATCTGTGATGTTTTATAAATAGGTGTACGTTATGTCATCTCATTTTAGGAATATCTCAGCAATCCAACGCATATTCCATTGATTGGAAGGGAAGGAAAATTAGATTACTGCCTACACCATCTATGGGAAAAAAAAAACATCAAAAAGAAATCAGCTTATATTAGCATAACTTGTTCGCAATTACTGGCCGCTTATAAAAGTGAGAATTGCATGTATGTGGTCTAGGTGGCTGAATCGAATAACCGCAAGACTAAATTTCTTGTTGAAGTTGAAAATTTGTTAGGTTAGTTCACAGATGTTTGGCCGACTGACTAAAACCTAATCAACTTCCTCCTCCTCCTCTACGCTCCATTCAACATCAAATAGATTTAATTCCCGATTCAACATTACTCAATCAACCTCATTATAAGATGAATCCCAAAAAACATCAAATCCTACAAAAAATTATTGAAGATTTACTGCAAAAACAACTCATTCGGCATAGTCTTAGTCCATGTATTGTTATGGCATTCATCGTTAAATTTCGCTTTCCTATGTTGCGCCTAGAAAAACTTCTCAATATATTGGGTGGAGCCAGTTATTTTTCAAAACTAGACCTTCGCAGCGATTGTCGTCAAATTAGAATTCATGAAGGAGATGAGTGGAGAACAACATTCAAAATTCAAGAAGGCCTACATGAATGGCGAGTAATGCCCTCTGGCCTATGCAATACCCCAAGCACATTCAAGAGACTAATGCATGATGTACTCAAACCTTTGCATGGATATTCTTTTGTGGTATATTTTGATGATATTCTTGCGCATGGCCCTTCATTGGATGCTCATTTACATCACCTAAAATTGATTTTAACGGCTCTTCGTGATCACAAGTTGTTTTCAAATCTTCCCAAGTGTGAATTTGCCATGGAAGAGAAGTGGCTTTTGGGTTTTTTTGTGTCCAAACAGGGTATCAAAACTGATCCGAGCAAGGTAGAGGTTATCAATTCATGGCCAAAACCAGCAAATTTTACTGAATTTCTAAGCTTCCATGGGCTCGCTAACTTCTATCACATATTCATTCAAAATTTCAGCATAATTGTAACTCTGATTACCGATTATTTAAAGCAGAAATTATTTTTTCTGGGGTGACGAACAGTAGTCCAGCTTGCTGCCATTAAACAACACCTAAGTTATGCACCAATTTTAGGAATGCCTGATTTTGATAAACCTTTCCAAGTAGAGACTGATGCTTCTATTGTTGGCATGGTAGCAGCTCTTTCCCATGAGAACCGACCTATCAAATTTTTCAACAGAAATTAAGTGGTTAACGGCAAAGGAGGTCTACCTACGAACAAGAATTGTATGTTGTGCTTTGGGCACTTAAACAATGGGAGCACTATTTAATTTCACAAGAATTTATACTTTTCAGCGATCACTAATCATTTTTACAAACACAAAAAAACTTGAATCAGATGCATATGAGATGGATTGTATTTCTACAAAAAAAAAAAATTTAAACGCAAATCAGGCCATAGCAATCGGGTTGCCAACGCTCTTAGCCGAAGATGGAGCCTTCTAGTTGCAGTTCAATTTCTAATCACAGATATGAAAACTCTTTGCAAACAATATGTGAATGGCGGTGATTTTTCAATTCCATGGTCTATTTGTAAGCACAGGGCAGCAGGTGACTATTCCATTCAAAGAGGATTTCTCTTCAAAAGCAATCAACTTTTTATTCCAAATACTTCCCTTCGAGAACAGTTCATTCACGAAGTGCATGGTGGTGGATTGGCCGTTAATGTTGGAAGAGACAAGACATTGGCTCTCCTTCAAGCAAAGAAGTTTTTGGCCACGACTTCGTCGTGATTTGCATCGCTTCGTGAAAAATGTTAAGTGTGCCAAACATTTAAAGGTGTCAATCAGAATACTGGCCTATATACTCCTTTACCGGTCCCATATTCAATTTGGTAAGAACTTAGTTTAGACTAAGTTTTGGGGCTTCCAAAAACTAAATGAGGTCTTGATTCTGTCATGGTGGTGGTTAATAGATTTTCAAAGATGACCCATTTTATCGCCTGCAAAAAGGCATTTGATGCAATAAATGTTGCAAAATTTTTCTTTAAGGAAATAATTCGTCTACATGGCATTTCAATGAGCATAACTTTGGATTGTGATGTTAGGTTCCTTGGTTGTTCCTGGCAGGAATTGTGGAAGCGATTACAAACTCAACTCAACTTACCTTTCTCAATTCAATAGACAAACTGAAGTGGAAAACTGCTCATTCGGTGATATGATTCGTTGTCTTGCAGGTGAACATCAAGAGTAATGGGACGATGGCTTGGGTCAAGCAGAACATGCTTTTAACTGCAGGCAGGACACTCTTTAGTATTGTATATACTAAATAACAAAATCATACGATTGATATAGTTGTAATTCCCAAACCGAGAAGCTCTTAAGCAGAATATGCTTAAGAGCAGAATGGGACGATGGCTTGGGTCAAGCAGAATATGCTTTTAACTAAAGGCAAGACACCCTTTAGTATTGTATATACTAAATAACAAAATCATACGATTGATGTAGTTGTAATTCCCAAACCAAGAAGCTCTTAAGCAATCAAAATGGCAGGTGATTTTGAGGAAATGTTCAAAACCGTGAAACATAAAATTAATGAGAGCAATGTGAAATACAAGCAACAAGTTGATGAGCATCGCAAAAGAAATATTTTTAATGTTGGGGATCCAGTGATGATCACTCTCCGTGAGGAAATATTTCCTACCGACACTTACTCCAACTAAACCCGTGAAAAATTGGGCCTTTTCTTATTGAAGAAGTGATTAATGATAATGTGTGTGGTGACACTTCCCGGGATTTGAACATATCCTTCACTTTCAATGTAGCTGATTTGTATAAGTATCACCCACCAAATTATGGATGTGTGCAAATTACTGAACTCGAGTCGAGTTCTTCTGAACCAGAAGGGAACTAATGCACTTATATCCTCTGATAAATAGCTATTATTATATCTAATAATTCTATATTAGCATTATATAATACTTACTGCTGAATATTATATCTTATATTGGTTTAGCCTATTCCTTTTACACATGTGCACGGTTGTGGTGTACTGGAGACATATATGTGGCTACTGCTGTAACCGTGGATGACACTGTTTGATATTTGATTACAGAAACATACTAATTCACTTCCTATTCTCTATTTTTACCCTTTCTTTATTCTGCAACTGCGCCACTGAGTTGAGTGTTTTTTAAATTTGAGATTTTATAAATCTATCTTCTATATTTTGCATAAATTACGCATTAACTTCAAATAATAATCTTTTACATGGCAATTTCACAACCGGAATTACTAAAAATTGCGTAAGTCTATACTGAGAGAAAGGGGGATGCAGATTCACTCATACATAACATACATTCAACATAATAAAAAATAAAAAAAAAATGATCAGCTGTGAGAAGACTGTTACAAGACAGTTATATATAAATAACAAAACAGCCAAACTTTCCCTTAAAAAAATAGTGATATGAGTATTGTATTGATTGTGGTGAAGTGGACTTTACCTTCTAAATTTTTTTATAAAATGATCTTTAAGTTATGTAAAATCATCTCCAAATCTAAAAAACAAAAAAAAATAACCCCATAACAGAAACATAAATTATTTGAAACGTATACAAACCATCTTGAAATTATGAATAATTATTCTGCACGGAACTCTGGTTACTATAATTACGAGGAGCTGAGCAGGTGATCTAATTATTTTACGACCACCAAATCACAACAACGGCCGGCACGCACTCTAACAAACGAGAAACACGTGAAAAAAAAAGTTCGCGAGAAATCAGTAAGAAACTACCAGATCAACCCAGATAAACCGACTAAAGCGGACGAATAAACACAAATACAAATCCACCAGGATCAAAAAAATTGCAAGCGATTTGAAAAGAAAATAACAAATCACCAAATCAGCTACAGATTGGCTAACATGCATACCTATACATAAAGATGTCGCGGCCGGGATGGAGAACCCCTTTGCAGAGAGCGCAAACCCTAAGAAATGGAGCCGTCTCAACCGCAGCTGAGCCCCACCGTATCCCTCGCGGCGACACCATCGAGACTAAACCTGATGCTCCCATCACGTTCCGCCGCCGATCGAGATTCCAGTCTCTAGAATCCCACGGCGGCTGATTTCCGTCGCCGGTAGCTGGTGCCTTTGGATGGAACTGTGTGGATACTGTCACCGTAGTGCCGAGATCTGCTGAAACATTCTTCATGCTTGTCGTCCGCTTCATAGACGGACGAGGCCTCTTGCCGAGCAACATCTTCGGAGAGAGAGAGTGTGTGTGAGAGGATTCTGTGCTGGAAGGAGGAAGAAATAGAAGGGTGGCAGAGAATCTGAACCGTTGATTGGAATCACCACATATATTGTTGTCCACGTTAGTTGCTTCGTTGTGCCGCTACTTTTTCCAGTTGATTGGTTTATTTAGTTTTTTTATTTTTTTAGTAATAAACTTATTTAAAATAAAGATATATATACTGAATTAATTAGT